TGAGACATTTATTTTTCTCTTTGATTCCTCTTCTTGGAGTTTCTGTCTTGTCACTGCTGTTCTCTGCTTAGTGAGGGATCTTTCTGCTGCTTCCCCTCAGTTTTTGTTGTTCTTCCTCCTCCTCTTTGTCTCCTCTTCCTCTTCTCCTTTCTTCTCCTCCTTCTTCCCCCTCTCCTCCTGTACATAAGGTCTCTCTACATAGCCTTGGCTATACTAGAACTCACTTTGTAGACCAGGCTGGCTATAAACTCATATAGGCCCACCCGCCTCTGCCCCACACGTGCAGAAAAAGATGCACACCACCGTGCCTGGCTTCCCTTCCATCCTTTAGACACAGTTCATGTTGGCTATGTGAAAACTTTTTAGGCTGCTAATAAAACGTCTTTGTCTAGTAGACCCAGTGTCAGTGTCTCCTTAGGAATAAAGACTTGTCTGCTTTTGGTTCTGTGTATGGGCTGCTTAATAAAAGATTTATTTATCTGTATTTTATGTGCATGAGTAAAATGTGCATTTGTGTACCAGATGAGTGTGGTGCCGGTGGAGTCCAAAATACTCCTGGAACTGGCATTACAGGTAGTTGTGAGCTACCAGGTGGATGCTGGGAGCTGAACTCTGGCCCTGCGCTCTTGCCCTGTGAGCTGTCTCTGCAGCCCCTATGAGAAACTTTTCTTTTCTTTTCTTTTTTTTTTTTTTTGCATGTATTGCATTTTTTCTAGGGTGGATTGAAAATAACATTTTAACTAGTAAAGTGAGCACTTGAGGAAAAATGTCCCTCCTGCTTTGCTCCAGGACGGCCACAGTTGTTCTTCGTCTTTGCCACTACTGCTCAGATCTTTAATTACTTCCCAGAACTTCCTCTCCAGCTCCGCATTCTCTGTTGTGTGTGTCTGCTGAGGTCACACTCAGTTCAGTTGTCACTTAAGGTTGCTGAGGAATCTCTTCCATGCCTCCCGATGTGCATCCTGATAACACCCTCATGCACATAAATACAAATAGATGAATCTGTTATTAAGCAGCCCACACACAGAACAAAAAGAAGACAAGTCATTGTTCCTAAGGAGACACTGACATTGGGCCTACTAGACAAGGACTTTTCACTAGCTGCTTAAAATGTCTTCACATAGCCAATACCAACTGTGTCTAAAGAACTTCAAATGCCTGGATCTAAGCTTCCTAGTCTTTGGTGAGAGTCTCTGCAGACATCTCTGTAAACACTAAGGCCATCAGAGTGTTGATCCAAGTGATCCATTTGGTTCAGTGTGACTCACTAGCTGGTATTGGTTCATACTTCGAAAGCCATACACTGGGCAGTGTATTGTAGGCATATTTAAGTACAGCATGGTTTTGAAAAAAAAGAAGTTTCCTGGTGTAACACAATCCCCTGGGCACAAGTACTCATAATTACACTAGAACTCTTCTCAAAGTGCATGCCATTTCTTCCACGAAGATGTGTTCAAGAGATAAGGTGCACGTATTGTCTTCAGGCCCTATGGGAGGATCTAGGGCCGTTTCAGTCATGCTGACAGTGTCCAGGTCCTCATCTCTGGTTGTGGGAGCTTGGGGGAGCCCCTGGCCATACAGATAATGCAAAGGTCACCTAGACTGTTAGCCATCTCTGGCCCTGTTAGAGGGAGGTTGGTATGGCCTGGCCCTACAGATGGTGCAAATCACCAGGTTCTTAACCACCTCCATTCCCAGCTTTCTCTGTGGAAAAACAGGTTATACAAATCTCTTGGTGAAGAGACAATTCTATTCTACATGTTTAATGTTCCTGGTTCCTTCATGCTTGTCTTTGAGCACAGGGACCTTTGTTCCCAACAGGGCTTTGAGAGATTCAAAGACAAGCCTTTATGTATCTGCTGAGAAGCCAGCAAATCTGGCTTACTTCTGCTTCCTACTCGTTCACTGTCTGATGGAGGACCAGAGGGAACTATTTAGAGTCCTTCTGAGTATTTCAGAGCACATGCACCATCCAGAACTTGGACATAGGTCTACATATAAAAGTGATTCTCCAGGTTCTTGGAGATATTGAAAGATTTTTCAGATTGGCTACAGACTTCTTCCTTACCGCTTCTCTGTGGCTTTTTGGTTCTCTTGTTAATACAAATGCTTTTGTAATCACAGACAGATGCAATGTTAAATAATTGATACTGATTATTTTTTAAAATAAGCGCCTCCACAGGAATATTTGTTGTCACTAGGGGAACTCTGAATTGGGTCAAAACAGACAATTATTTGTTTGAGGCTAGTTTCAAGATTTCACTTTTTAAAAATCGTGTATTCTCTTCAAGAACAGGACAAGCTCTTAACTGCTGGGCCATCTCTCTAGCCCCAATACAAATAATTCTTGAGAGAGATTTTTGGGGCTGGCAATGCCAAAGAACGGTATTAGAAAGAGCCACAGCTGTGGCCTAAGTCTTTGGTGTCTGGGGGAGCTGCTCATTCTATCACTGCTTTTATGGATGGGAAGATTTGGGAAGGTTCTTACTTTGGTGTTCTGTGACATTTCTTCCTTTGCTTTCTTTAAATAATGCCTTTGTTGAGGACCCCAGCTGTTTGACCTACACATTCCCTGTTTTGGATTCTACAATTGCATTCTCATAAAGTTCAATGTGCCTCTTAGGTGGTACCATGTACTTTGTGCAGGGGTGCAGTGTTTGAATTTTTAGGCTGTCTCAGAATATATATATATGTATGCATGTACATACACGTCATGTGTCTGGGGCCACCAGCTCCAGGGAAAGCCCTGCGTAGAGCATCCACACTTAGGGTGGTACCTGATGTTGTGTGAGGATGTGCGTTTACATGAATGTTCAGATTTACCTCTTCCTGCTGTTTTTTCAAGGTGATTTGTTAAGCCAGCTCATAGATGGGTTTTGTGAGGGCATAAATTTCCTTTTATCTTCAATTAAATGTACAGGAGTGATATTCCTGGGTCGTATAGCAATTGCACGTTTAATTTTGTAAAATACCGACAAGCTGTTTCCCAGTGTACCTATTCCTTCTCAGTCTCTCTGGCAGTGTGAGAGAGCTGGTTTCTGGGCACACTCACCAGCATTTGGGGTTGTGACAAATGTTTGTCTTAGTAATTCCAATGGGTATGCAGTGTCATGTCATTATGGCTTTAATTTGCATTTCTCTAATATCTAATGATGTTTAATATATTTTCATTGGTTTAATGTGGTATCTATGTAAATATCTTTGGGGAAATGTCTGTGTCATTTTCTAATTATACTGTTTATTTTCTTGTGCGTATTTATAAATCTGAGTAAGTGCTCATGTGGGTGAGTGTGGGCATGCACCTACTACCACGGCCTATTTAGGTCAGAAGATGACCTTGGCACTGGTCCTCACCTTCCACCTTGTTTGAGGCAGGGTCCACGCCATCTTAGACGGTGTTGCCTCTGTCCACCAGGATAGCTGGCATTTTAACTTCTGGGTCTTTACTTACTTGTCTGCACCTCCCATCATGCTACAGGTGACTGTAGACTCTTGTGTTACAGCCAACTTTTACATGTGCTCTGAGGGTTCGGACTCATGTCGTCACACTTGGGCAGCAAGAGCTTTTGACCACTGAGCTCTCTCTGAATCTGTTTTCTTACTGATGAGTTCTGAGGGCTTAAAAAATGACACCCTAAATATGTGTGTCTCTTCTGATCCATGATTTTAAAATATTTTATCTTAATATAATTTGCTTTTTTCATACTCTTCATGGGATTTTTCTCAGAGCAAAAAAAAAAAACAGAAAGAAAGAAAAAAAACAATTTCAATGACTTATCACTTAAACATCCTTTTGTAGATTATGCTCTTGGCATCAAGTTCACAAAATCTTTTCTGTAAAGGTGTGCAATTTGGCCGTTGCTCAGGGTTCCGATAAAGGACCCGTGGCTGTTGGTTGAAAAGTCCATTCTTTCTCCTCGGGACTGCTGTATGAAGCCATGGTCTCACCAAGCTGCCACCTGCACAGCAGGCTGACAGCGCAGTTTGTTTTTCTTCTAGTCTTGGTTCCCCTCTGGGATTTTAAGGATTTTTTTTTTTTTTGGTCTGAGAATCAAAGTATTTCTCCCTTTTCTTTAATAAAAGTCCTTCACCGTGATTACAGAGTTAGAAACATATGGCTAAAGGCAAATGTCTAAGTCCATTGTTCTGTAACAACTTTTAAGAGGAGAGAAAAGAAGAAAACGAAAAGTGAAAATAGTGGAACAGAGGAAGAGAAGAAAGGAAGGAGAGGGCCTGGGCTGGGTCCTAATTATCTCCGGAGAAATTCTATTGACACATATACTTATACAAATATGGGTATGGTGTGATTCTGGTGACCCTAAATAGCATGTAATGATCACCTGGATGTAACCAGAACACCTACACCTCAGATATTCACTTGCTCTGTGACTGGGGACCCCAGTTGCCCCCGCAGACTACCTGTGACAAATCACAGCTCATAGGTCATGTGTCTTCAGGAGCTCTCATGGCTCCCTCTAGGTGTCCCGGTGGAAAAGCTGGGAGTCGACCTCCATTCCCCAGGGTGCTGAGCAGTTGGTGAGTAGACAGCTTTGCTTAGCACCAGGGGGGCAGGGGGCCTGCCTTCCAGGCTCTGACTGGAGAGCAAGCTCTGCAGCCATAAACAGCTTAGGAAAAGCTGCAGCCTGGCCCTTGCTGCTGCCTCCAGCAGGGCTGGGGGATTAGTGAGGGTGTCTCTATGTGTGTGTGTGTGTGTGTGTGTGTGTGTGTGTGTGTGTGTGTTGGGGGGGAAGAGGAAGAGGGGCGGGCAGATGGAAATGTCAGATTTGGTTTAGAGGATACTTCTAGAAGGAAAGAAAGCTGCTCTCCTGGCGGTGGCACCTCCTCCAGCTTCCCTGTGTGTCCTTCTTGCTCTAAAATTAAGGCTCTTGTTCTCTTGGTGGGTGCAGGGGTGGGGGCGATTCTCACTAGTCCTGTAAGCAAGAGCTGACAGCAGGGGCCTGCCTGCCCTGGCACCACCGCCAGCTCTGTGGTGGCAGCTAATGGCCAAAGGCATACAAGATGGTTGTCAGTCTGGTTTCCAGGACAGAGATGAAGACCAGGCACTGGACACTCCCTGGGGCAGCCAGCTCCCTGGAGGAGGGGGGCGGTACTTGCTGTAAGTCACTTGTCCTTCATCCATTTCCTCAACTTTTCATCTGAGAGCCGATTGATCCGTGTATTTGCTCTTTTACTAAAAAGCCGCCGACTTGTCTGGCCAGGGGCAGTGACCACTTCTAATTCTCCCATCTGCTTGTCCTGTGCCTCAGAGGTGTGGGCAATGGAAGCGAGGCAAACATACGCTACCAAGTAGCTGGAGTGATGGAGCATTCCCAGGCTGTGCAGAACTCTGTCTCCACAGGCATGAACGCAGCTTCGGTGACACTTGCCAGTGCCCTGCAGGTCAGGGGTGAAGCCCTGTCTGAGGAGGAAATCTGGTCCCTCTTGTCGATGGCTGCTGAGCGGCTCCTGGAAGACCTCCGAAACGGTAAGGAAGTATTTGGGCGAACTGAGTCCTAGGAAATTGAAGGCAAAGCTTCTTAAGCAAACTTCCTTCTGGCAGCTTCTTGATCTGTGATCAACCCTAAGGTTTTCGAACAAGAGGGCAAATGGTCCCCACCAGGCGGCTGCTGAGCAGTGGCCTATTCCCAAGGCCTATGCCTTGTGACCAAGCTGAAAGGCAATGCTTCTGCTTTGGGCCTGTGTGGTGCTTACAGAGAGACTAATGGCAGCAACTAGGCCTCTGCCAACAGTTGGGGTGTCCCCACAAGCCGTCCCTCAGGTGCTGTTTATTCTGTCCCATCAGAAGACAGAACCTACAGTGTGCTCTAAACACGAGAGGTTAATATGGAAATCACTAAATTGTGATATGGATGAAGATGTAAGAAAATCCTACGTGGACCCCTAGAGTCACAGACAGGTCCTCCTCCCCAGGTTGGGTTTTAGCCTGTGGAGGAACTGCCTTGCCACTCTTGATGCTGAAGGTCTCTAGATGATCTGGCCGGAGGTAGTCTACAGTCATGGTCCAGGTGACGCAGAGGCAACAACCAGGTGATGACTCAGAAGTTAGGGGTGACCCTTTGGAATGTGGCACGCTCAGATGAACAGGCTGAGAGTGTGAGGGCAGGAAGACTGGAGCCTGGAGCATCTACGTGGACAGGTCCGTGAGGAAGTGGTCACAGCGTAAGGCCAGGCCTTGAGGTATGCAAGGGCTTTCATGTCCTGTGGCTGAGTTCAGGACAGGCATGCTCCTGCCTGGTCATCTTATATTCATACCAGTGGCTTTTCAACATGGCAGGAGAGGCCCTACTTCCTCTGAGGTCTCTGTAGTGTCTCTTCTGAGAAGAATGTTCATAGTGCTGACAGCAGAGATGCTTAAAGAAGCCCATATGGAAAGGCGATTTGGAGCTGTGGGGTGTTCAGTCAGCAGGTGAAGTAAACACAGAGAGCCTGCATGTAGATATTGACTCAGTAGACTCGCCCCGCCGACTGAGACATTGCAGAACATGGCTCAGGTCACGTCAGAGTATGTAGGCTCTGCTGGGTGCCGGGTTCCAGTGTCAGCCAGTGGAGGGACGCTGCACACTTAGCTTAGCTTCTCTTCCTCCTGAGCCCTCATGCCTGTCTCCTGCCCTGGGGGATCTGATGAACTACTGTAGAGCTATGCCATGACCAGTGGCCTCAGTGCCTGACTCAGCTGCAATGAACTCAAGTCTGCACCAATTCCCAGATGGTCTTGGTCGTTTTTGACCTTTTACTTTAAAATGCTTAGGTCCTCAGAGATCCAGATGTAGGCACTAAATTCTTATCCACAGTTGCAACCACCTTCTGTAATACACACTTCTATGTGCTGGGTGGAATTTATCCTGTCCCGTGCTTGAACAGGCCCTGGTCAGAATCAATCCTAGAAGCAACTGCTGTCTGACACAGTGACCCTGTTCTTATGCCCCACTATTGCCTTGTTTCCAGATTCCTCAGACTATGTGATCTGCCCCTGGTCACTCCTGCTTTCTGCAGCTGGAAGTCTTTCTTTCCAAGACCATGTTTCTCACATAGAGGCTGCACCATTCAAGGCTCCGGAACTGCTCCAGGGACCAAATGAGGATGAGCAGTCCGAAGCATCACAGGTTGGATGTGTGTCACCCCTCTTCAATACCCTGGGGAAAGCCTTTCCTGGGGGAGACACCCCAAACTCTCTGCCCAGTCCCAATTCTGAGGTTTAATGCATGTTCTTTGCAGACTCTTGCCAGCAATTTACCAGATCTTGGCTAAGGCCGTTCAACTTCATTGAGCCCAAGTTTCTCAGTCAGATAAGCGAGGCAAATATAACTTTGTGGATCAAGCTTTACCAGCGTTAAAAGTAGTGTTGGGAGTTGGGAAGGTGGCTCAGGGGTTAAAGAGCTTGTATATAAGCATGCGAAAAGCCAGGTGTGATGGTGCATACCTATGATCCCAGTTCTCAAAGCTGGAGGGAGGAGGATTCCAGGGCCTAGCTAGCCAGCTAGTTTAGTCAGCTGGCAAGCTCCAGGTCTTATAAGAGATCTCAAAATATAAAGTGGGCGTGAACAAGGAAGTCACCCAGCTGTCAGTCTTTGGCCTCCACATGTGTGTGTGTGGGCATGAGTACCACCCATATATGTATATTTTCATACCCACACAGAAAGAAGTATAAAGAGAAGTCTTGGAGAACACTGTGGGCAAATGGTTTTCATAAAGTGGCCACTGGCTACGTGAAGTAAGGGCCTTCTGAATGACCTGGCCAGCTCCCATAGGTGTTTATCCTCAGGCAGCTTCAGGCAGTTTCAGCTGCAGAGGTGCTTGATAGGGTATTGTCTACGTCATCCATAAACTAAAACAAAGTGGATGTCAGTCAAGAGCGGACATGAGAAAAGACGGCACTCATGTGAGATGCTGAAATTTGTTTAGTGATGAGAGAGAGAGAGAGAGAGAGAGAGAGAGAGAGAGAGAGAGAGAGAGAGAGAGAGAGACATCTGAACAGCTCTGGTGACTACAGCCCTCCTTTTGCCACACCAGTTCTCTCTTCGTCCAACTTGGCAGAGGGTTGTGACGGATATCTGGGAAGTCGGGAGCATAGAGGTCCCAGCAGGGGCTGTACTCAGGGCCCTTCCCAAACCCTGGCTGCATTCTGAGACTAACATCTTACTCTAACCAGTGCACTCAGCACCGTACCCGAAACTAGACTGGGCGCAGGTGGCAGATATGGGCGAATCTCTAGCTGGGAGTCCCTTGAGCGGCCCTACCTCACTGCATCCTCTGAGCAGACTGTTTGCATTCTTGCTCAGAGACCCAGGAGTTGCCTTCAGAAACCTCCTTTGCCCGTGTCTCCCAGTAGGCTGAATTTAGGATTTGGTATGGAGCCTACTGGGTTCAGCTTGGTCCCCAGAACATTTTTAGACAGAGCTTTGGAACCCATGGAGAGTTCTGAGTGTGAGTGGTGCCTCTGGCTGTGCCCAGGATACTTATATCACTTCTGTTCAGGGTCACTGTAGCTGTGCCCAGGGTGCCATCCCAGTTCTGCTTAGGGTCACTGCAGCTGTGCCCAGGGTGCCGTCCCAATTCTGCTCAGGGTCCCTGCAGCTGTGAACTGCAGTGGGTCTGTGGATGGGGCTGGGCTATAGGGGAGCAATTTCAGATAAATAAACACAATAATTTACAGGCACAGGGGACACTTGTGGGACCTCAGATCACTTGTGTTAGACAGTCTAACATAGGGAGAGCTGAATTTTCTCTAGCTCTGGATGTTAGGACAAAGAACTGGCCAGACCTCCTCCAAGGTGTGAGAGTCAAACCACCTTGGAGAGGATGAAGCCTTCCCAGCAAGTTCTAGAGGACAGCGGGAAAATCCCCAGCAGCACTTAGTAACCACGGGTTTAACACACAGTTTGTTACTTCAGGGGCTTCTCTTGCACAGCTCCAAAAGCATTTTCCTGAAAAGGATCTTCATGATCATTGTCTTTTTCTCCTACAGTGAAAACCATGAACATCAACAAAGGACATTGATTAATCTGGGGGTCACAGCTATGGGATTCCAGGGCTTGCGTTCCATCCCATGTTTGGTTCTTATTAGGCAATTCCTCTAGCTTGCCTTTGCTCTTGTTTCCTCTTATCTAAAATGAAGACAATTGAAAACCTGCCTCAGAGGATTGTTGTGAAGACCAAATACATTTAAATAAGCAAAAGGCTTAGAATAGGGTTTGGCCTGATAATAATGACCACCCCAAGTACTTTCGTATTCCGTGCTTATGAGGGTTTGGGCAGAACACTCATTTTTAAAAATACAGAGCTTCAGATGTTGGGCCATGCTTTTTCTGACAAGACACAAGGCTTTGCAATAAAATTGCCCCCTAGCATGTTGTGGATGGATAGCTATGGTTACAAGAAACAGAAAGTCTGAGATACAACAGCCAGAGTCATAGTTAGTCCTTAGTTACTTAAGGAGCAGTTTTGGTATGGGTAGCAGCAACTCAATGATATCAACAAGGATCCAGAATATATATATTTCTATTCTAGTCCCTGTGTTTATTTCCACATGGTTGCAAGTGGCTGCTGTGGCTCCACGCTGTTGTGGCTCCACGCATCATACGGTATTGCAGTTAAACAGCAGGGCAAGTGTGGGGTCAGTCACATACTTTTTTTCCAATAAAGCAAAAGTTTAATTTTGTTTTGTTTTTTTTTTTCTTCCGTAAGCACCCTAACAGATGTTCTCTTATTTTTCACCAAACTGGGGAGTCATAGTTACTGCTAGAAAACAAATTTCTAGCCTGCAGCGTGGGAGGGAGCAAAGGTTAAGGAGGTACAGATGGTGCCGTGCTAGCCTAGCCAGATTTCCACCCCTTGCTCCTGGAAACTGCTGGGCTTTGCTTGCGGGACTGTGGACTCATGCCTGACTTCTAATCACGTGCTTTTCTCTTGGGCAGATGCATGTCTACTCCTTAGGGATGACGCTCTACTGGTCAGCTGGGTATCGTGTTCCGCCAAACCAGGTCTGCAAACAAGAATGCCTCCCACATTACCAGGTCATCCATCTGGATTAGCTTAGTAGCTCTCCCCTAGGCTGGAACCACATGCATTAAGTGTGGCTGTCATCACCCTTCTGGGCTAAGCCTTACGCAGGTATTACCAGCTGATTGCACAGTCATTCTCCTGGGTCCATAAACAACCTCAGCGTGTTCTTAAACACTCCAAAGATGATCCAAGTTGGGACTGGCAGTCAAGATAAGATTCACTCGTCCTCTTGGACCACAGGAAGAAGAAAGCTAGAGGGTTTCACATATACCAAAGATAGTTATCTATGTATTCTCCCAAATGCTTTTAGAATCAGCCCTTCCTGTAGTGAAACACTGAGAAAAGGGTTCTGTGCTCAGTAATTGAGAAAATGTACCCTGCACTGTCTCCTCTGGAAGAGGTGTCAGACTAGCTGGTTATGGACTGTTTAAGACTCAAAACACAGAAACTTGATGGGACAAACCATGTTGCACAATTTGATGAGTTCACGCACTATGTGAATGCATCCATTCATGTATGTGTCTATATGGGTGCGTGTGTGTGTGTGTGTGCGTGCGTGCGTGCGTGTGTGTGTGTGTGTGTGTGTGTGAATGGACATTTTCATCTGACATCATAAGAATCCTTTAAAAACTAGAGCTATGAGAAGCATTGTTGAACCTGGCCATGGTGCCCTCCCTCCCCTCTCACCAATCCCCCCTCTTTCTCCCTACCTCCCCTTTTCTCTTTCTCCTCATCTCTTAAGCAGAAAACTATTTACAACTCATTCTGCCTGAAGTGGGACCCTCACTGGCTACCCGCTGCCTTCATGGTTTTATTCCAGCATCTCACCAGGGCACATGGATTCCAGAACTTGGCTCCTGCTCCTGTCTTCTGGTTCTCTGACAGCCCCAGGGCTTTTCTTATGGATGTGTGACTTGCGAACCTGTGCTTGGCTTAATGCTCTGCCAGCGCCATCTTGTACCCAGGACTTTGGGGCATCATAGCCCCTGCTGCAGTCCTTTACTTTCAGGCACACACACCAGTTTCCACACCAGCTCATCTGCCCCTCTTGCCTCTGTGCATGCGCACCAGAAAGCTCATTCTGCTTTTCCAAATCCCTGCTGCTGTTTGAGGTCTGCTTGGGTCTGGCTTCTATCTGTATACTTGTGGGGTCCTGTGCTTCCTGGGGGTCAAGTCCTTGTCATATTCAGCTGTTCTTGCTCTTTGAGTAATAACATTTGTGTGGGACTGTGAGCTTGAAGGCAATGAGGTTCAAGAGCAACTGTGTTAGACACAGTGGCCTCTTGCTGTGAAGATGGGCACCAAAGTCAAGGCTCCCTGAGAACATTAAGAGAGTGTGTATAAGCCGGGCGGTGGTGGCACATGCCTTTAATCCCAGCACTCGGGAGGCAGAGGCAGGCGGATCTCTGTGAGTTCGAGGCCAGCCTGGTCTACAAGAGCTAGTGCCAGGACAGGCTCCAAAGCTACTGAGAAACCCTGTCTCGAAAAAAAAAAAAAGAGAGAGAGAGTGTGTGTATATAAGACTCTTTTTCCTTTGGCCTGAAGTGAGTGTGGCATAGAGTTCTAGCAATGATGACTGTAACGGAACCCTTGCCTGCTGCTCATAAGTCTGCATGAAAGGCCACTTTAACTCACATGACTCCCTTGCACTCAAGTTCCAGGAGGAAGTCCCCATGAGATGACTGGTGTTGGAAGCACCAGGCTACCAGATCAATGTAGCGATGTGTGTGTGTGTGTGAGACCACTAGTGTGGCCAAGCATTTGGCTCAAGTCGAGGTCTATGATGTCTGGCACAGGCTTTTCATCAACTTACCAAGCTTACATCGGAGCTGAAGAGCTCAGATCAGAGTGTAGCAAGGACAGCAGATGTCAAAACAGTGGCTTGGCCTCAATGACAAATCAGATGTCTGTTCCAGAAGCAAATCAGTTTCCGTAGTGATGAGTGTGTTTCCTGGAGTCTCTGGGGCATGTGGGCCTTGGTGCCCTGCAGCAACCATTCCACTAGGCCACACTTGTCACTGTGTGTCCTCTGCAGCCCCTGCAGCTTCGAGAGCCCGTGCACTCCCTCTTACTGGCCATGTGCGAAGACCAGCCTCAAAGACGGCGGCCACTGCAGGCAGTTCTGGAAGCCTGCCGCGTTCATCAGGAAGAAGTGGCTGTATACCCAGCCCCTGCCAGTCTCCACATCAGTCGACTGGTGGGCTTGGTGCTGGGCACAATCTCTGAGGTCAGTGGGCACAATCTCTGAGGTCAGTTTTGGAACCCATCTTTCCCATTGGAGAGCCACTAGCTATGTATGGCTATTGGAATATAAGTCAGCCAAATTTTAGTTAAAAGGAAATTCAATTTTAAAAAAAAAATCCAGGGGCTCCGTGGTAGGGTACTTGTCTAAGGAGTTAGTTAGCCTGACAGGTAGCTTGCATGTGTTGGCATCAATGCACCCCTCTGACCTGATGGCTGACTTGCAAGTCCATCAACCCTCACTCAGGTGGAGAGACGAGTTGTGGAGGAAGGTACCTGTGAGCGGCAGAGCAGAAGCTACTTTCTCAGGAGTAAGCTGCATCGGGCTGCCAGTGAGAGCCCCGGAGCTCGGGCCTCTGATGGTGTGCAGCTGCGAAGAGGTGAGTGAAGGCTCTGAGCAGTCCTATGTAGACAGACAGTGTGCAAAGTGACCTTGTCTCCTGTCCTGAGTGTGGATATCCCTGCTATACATACAGAACATGCCCATGCAAGTGCTTCTCTCCCTGGAAGAGCTAAGGGTCTGGGCCTAGAGTCAGTATGCCTACTAAACTTATAACAGTTAAGTAGAGTTAACTATATTAAATATTAGCTGTTTAAATTGGAGTCTAGTTGTCCAAATTGATGATTAAGATAGAAAAAGAAAGAGTCTTTTTTTAAAAAATATTTATTTATTTATTTTTAGGACAGGGTTTCTCTATGTAACAGCTCTGGCTGTCCTGGAACTCACTTTGTAGATCAGCTGGCCTTGAACTCACGGAGATCTGCCTGTCTCTGCCTCCCAAGTGCTGGGATTAAAGGCATGTGCCACTACTGCCTGGCAAAAAGGTGTTATGTTATATATGAGGGTTTTTTGTCTGTGCACCATGTGTATAACCTGATGCCTGTGGAGACCAGACAAGGGCGTTAGATCTCCTGTGCTGGAGTTTCAGATGGTTATGAACCTCCATGTAGGTGCTGGGAATTGAACTCAGGACCCCCAGGAGAGCAGTCAGTGCTCTTAACTACTGAGCCATCTTTCTAGCCCCCAAACCGAAAAAGGTTTTAAAAATAACCTGCTAAGTGGAATGACAAGCAGTGACTCATAAAAGGCTTTGTTTTTTGATTTTACTCTAGGTGTTCTCAAAGAGTGGTTTTTACATTAACCTTCAAATATGCTTTTACCTGCTTCTCAGGTCCCTGAACTTGAGTTATATTTTAGTTTCTTTTCTTGTTGTGGGAGGTAACTGTTAAGCCTGGAACATAGCCTCCACCCCTTGGCATCCATCCCAGCCAACCTGGCCTGGGAGTTGCATTGCTCTGGACTCCAGGACCACTCCCACAGGGTATTTAAGTGGGCTCCCAGAGAAGAAACACGTGGTTTTCGGGTTTGCATGGGCTCCCTGCTTTTCTGTCTCCCCACCATGTGCTCGGCCACGCGAGAGCATCATTCTTAATAAAACGATGGGCATTTGACTTGGTGCGACTTGACCTAATTGGATTTCTTGTGCCGGCAAAGCGACCCTTATTATTTTTTACTTAACAGTAACAACAGCCACAAGCACCCAAAGGAGGCAATGTTTGGTTTCACTCACAGTTTGAGGCATGGTGGGAGGAGTGACGTGGCACCTGCAGTCACAAGGTTACGTGGCGTACGTGGTCAGGGAGCAGAGCGAGGTGATGCTGGTGCTCAGCTCACTCTCTTTTCATTCAGCCCGAGAACCCAGCCCGTGGAATGGCTCTAGCTAGGGCTGATCTTCCCATCTCAATTAAACCCATCTGAGAAGTCTCTCAAGGCATGCCCAGAGCTTCATTTCCAGATCTCGTCAAGTCGATCTGTATTAGCCATTGTGCCTTATTTATTTACTTACTCGTTTTGAAAAGGAATCTCAGGATATAGCCTAGAATTCTAGATCCTCAACCTCTGAGTACAAGGTCACAGGTGTGTACCACCGAGTCTTATTTTGTTTATTTTTATTTAAAGTTGTTGTTTGTTATTCCTAAATCAAGGTCCTGCTTTGCCTTTTGTTGTTAGGTTTTTCCTCCTCGCTGTCACAATCTCATCTGGCTATACTGTCATTTCCATTTGCAGTGTGGGAGCACAGAGTCAGAGGCATTTAGTGATCCCCCCAAGGGCACACAGCTGATCAGTTGGGGTGGTGTCCACACTCTCGGCCGCTGTTTGTTTGCACGAACCCTCCCTACCGCGCTGTTTGGTTAGTTTCAGAGAGAAGTACAGAGACACAGAGCTCCTCAGAGCAACATTGGAGCACCACGGCTCACAGTCCTTGTGGCTTCCCTCATGGGTGAGTCTCCTACTCGCAAAGTTCACACTGTGACCTTGGTGTGGGAGTCTACACAACCTGATTCTCTGCTGATTAGTGACAAGAAGCCCGTTCTCCAGGAAAGGACATTAGTGAAAACTCAAGGTATAGGCTGCCTGCTGGCAACGGTCTTGTCAGGAACCTGAATCTTCTGGGAAGCCCATTCAGGCCCAGAAATGGAACATCACGAGCACTGGTGTTTTAGTGGTGATCCCCAGGCACACCCTGCCTGCCACACAGCATACAACCACACAGCATACAACCACACAGCACAGTGCCTGCTGGACACAGTTACTCGGAGCTCATGACTTGGGCGTGCTGATTTCTGGGGTTTAGCCAGAATTCCTGGCCTCTCTGTCTGCCTTCTGCATCTGTGACCAGCTGAGTCACTGACTGCAGAGGCTTCACTTCTGGGGAGCGGGTTTGTTACCCCAGCATTCCCATGACATAATGTGTACCCTGTTGGCTTTAGCCTGTCTAGGTGATTGGAGTTTGCTGGCTTCATTGAATCACGGGACCCCTGTTGCACACACAGTTGGTCTGCTTTTGACCAAATCATCAATAGGTGGTTCATGACTGTTTGTTGTCAAAAGAGTTGGAATGTCCAAAATTTCAAAAACAAAGTCAGAGCCATGATCTATTTAGGGAATATTGGGACCTTGAGATCATGGTGAGCAGGCACAGAGGCAGAATCCTGGGGTGGTGGTGGTGGTGGTGGGTGGGGGGTATATGTGGTCTCATACCTTAAGTAGTTCCCCAGCCTGTGGTTGTGTAGCCTTAACCTCTGAGGGTCTCAGCTTCACCAATGGGCGATGTGGGAAATAACATAAGGTAGCGGCTGAGTCTGTGGTAGGATGGATGTATCATCAAGTACCTTACCTTCCTTACTCCTGGACAGCGCTTTGGCAGGTGTGGATCCCTGTGACTGTGAGGAGGGCCTGCGATGTGGCTCTGGGCCTATGCTCTTGGCAGAAGCAGAAAGCTCACAGCTAGCAACATCTCCAAGGAATTTCCTACAAAGGAACGGAAAAGCGAGTAAAGAGGTCTGTCGCTGAAGGACACCATCGAGAGCGGTCCCAGATGGGACCTGTAACACAGAGGGAGGATGCAGGGAGGGGCTTCAGTACTCAGGGGCCCTGGGCTGGAGTTCATACATCTGCACTGACAGAAACCTGAACCTGGCCGCTTGAAGCTAGGTATCCTCCAGTCTCACAGCCCCTTCCATAGCCCCTGGCTGTACAGTAGATGCTGTTTAGGATGTGAGGTTTGTTTCAGGCCCACCTTTCCTGAAGTTTGAGATCGTGTGTGTAGAAGTTTGTAGGCCCAGTGTGGCATGTAAGGGAGATGACAAAGCAGAATGTACTCGTAAGAGGCCGTTAGGCAGACAAAATGCAGGGGTATTTCTGGGCTTGCAAGGTGGTTTACCTAGGAAGAAGTGTCTTGCTGGTGTGTGTGTGTGCGTGTGTGTGTATGTGTGCGTGCGTGTGTGTATGTGTGTGTGCATGTGTGCGTGTTAGGATTGGAAAAATATGGAGGAGTTGAGGCCAGAGAACAGCCACACTAACTTGCCCAGCGTTGAAGGCCAAGCTAATAGGACATACAGATAGGGGTGGCCCCTGAGGTCTATTTACACCTCCTGTGGATTCTTCATAGAAAACCTCTGCTGAGGTTAGTTATTGGCTGAGATCAGTTCCAGAGGCCTACTCAATTGCTCGCTACCTTGTTTTCTTGAGGCAGGGCCTCTCAATGGACTTGGAACTCAGCAAATTTAGTTGACCAGCAACCTTCAGGGAACCTCCTGAGCACCTCACCCCCCAGTGCTGGGTTTAGAGGTGCATGCCGCCATGCCTGGCTTTTGCATTAGTTCTGGGGTACTGAACTCGGGTCCTCAGGCTTGTACTTGGCACTTTACTGACTGAAAATCTTCACAGTCCTTGATTTTTTTTTTTTTTTTTTAGTTTGTTTTTGCTTTTGAGATAGAGTCTTACTGGGTAGCTCATCACACTTCTGATGCTCCTCCCTCAGACTCCTAAGAACTGAGGTTACAGGCGTGTGCCTCTATGCCTCTATCCCAGCTTGTTTCGGGCTTTTGACACACGTGACGATTATGTACTGCTGTATAAATGCTAACCTCTGATGATGCGCCCAGTGAAAGCCAGCATGCTGCCTGCCTCCTAGACCACACTTCTAGGCCCCTGTTAAGATGGACAGCCCATTCATCTGTCTTGCTGAAACCTGTTTCTTTGAGGGGCACTGAGTGGGGTGGGGGATGGGCAGAGAGCTGAAGAAGGCAGAGGGAAATGAGCTTCAAAGCCTGCAACCCATTTTTTTCTTCCATGTTTGATTATTTTGGATGTTTTTTTTTTCTCAGTTCTCCAGACCAGAGTTTATCCTCTTAGCTGGAGAGGCCCCGGTGACCCTACATTTGCCTGGATCCATCGTGGTAACTACTGCTTAGCCTGGATAGGACAGGAGGGAATCGAGTCCAACAAACTTAAGACTGACTGCATTTTGGTTGGGATCTTTTCTGGGGATATCTTGGTACTCTCCCTGCTCTAGAGCCTTCTCCCATGAACCCCATGTCTCTCTACCTCTCTTCCTCCTATTTCTGCTCATGCTGCCTTCTCAAAGTTGTTTAAAGAGGATTGTTTTCCTTTCCATCCATGTCATATTCTCCCATCTCTCTTGTCCCTCTGGATCCCAGTCAGGGCATGGCCATGCTACCCCTGCCTCCCAGTCTCCCCTGTGAGAGGAGCTCCTTGTGGTTTATTCCCAAGGATAAACCTCGCCCCGTTTAGCCTTCATCTCCTCACTCAGCACAAGTGCTGGGACTATCTCAGACTGGGTACTCTGCCAGGTCCTACTCTATGCTTTGGTGAACCAAGTCCTTTCCATGTAGAGCCTATAGTCTGGTGGGAGGAGGAAAAGGGAGACAAATTCATAAAAGGAAAGCATGCCAGGCAGTACTTTGTGCTTTAAAAAAATTGAGAAGACGCATAAGGATGGGAGAGGGTAGAAGACAATAGGTGAGGATGGGGGAAAATTGCTCCTTTAGCCAGGGAAGTATCTCTAAGGAGACAAGAAGGGAGGGGAAGAGGCATGGAAGATGGAGGATTTTAGGGAAAGGCTCTAGCAGAGGGAGGGCACTATATGGATGTGCTACCCAGCTCAGTCAAGTCCATGCCCTCCTGGCTCTTTCCCAGCCCGGAGCCATGAGCTTCTCAGCTAATGATGAGCATCTGGGAAGATAACCCTTCCCATTTTCCAAACTCCTAGAGCCAAGATGCCGGTCTGGCCAATGCTGTCTGGCAATGCGGTCTTTGGCTTTTCGGTCTTTTGGAGGCAGGGCTGTGGGAAGCCTGGGATGGTGTCTTTGTTTTTCCAGGTTCTTTTGTCATCCCTATGCTTGTCTTCAATGTAGCTCAGAGAATAAACACTAGGGCACTCGTCTGGCTCAGTCAGGGGTCCATGACTCATGGAGGAGCCTGAAGGAAAGCTGGGGAAACATATGTCTCCTACCTCCCCACGTTGCTGACCTCAGAGATTCTTCAGAGAGCTCTGACTTGGGTCTGGGTTCTGTCATTTACCGACTGTGCAATCCTAGAAAAGTTCCTCATTGTCTCTAAGCCTCAGTTTCTCATCTGCTAATAGGGAGCAAAACTATTCTCATAGGTAATTAGACAATTAAATGAACTAAGCCATGGGACACTCTTAGCCTGGTGAACTTGCCCAAGTTGGACTCACAGTCTCCTCTTAATTGTGAGCATTGATACTATTATTGTTTTCAGACCAAAAAAGGGAAATCCTACTTGGCTCTCAGAGACCTCTGTGTGGTCTTGCTGAGCGGACAGTGTCTGGAGGTGAAGTGCCACATGGAGTCCACAGCCGGAGCTGTCTTCAATGCTGTCATGTCCTTCACCAACCTCGGGGAGACCATCTACTTTGGTTTGGCTTATGTGAAAGGTATGTGTTTCTTGGAGACACTGTTGACATGAACTCGTGGAAAACCAGGTACATGGATACCTGAACTCTGTTCCTCCTGAAAAGCTGCTTGATCCTAGGACACCTAACTTTGCTTACCTCAATACAAATTAGCCCAGAGAGTGCTTTGAATCCCTTGTGGAAAGCATCAAGTGAGCACAGCTTGTCATGAGAGAAGGCTTGCCAGGTATGATCAGTAAACAGCAATCTAAAGTTAGACAAACAAATATTAAAAACATTTGTAAATTATCTGGGGTGCTTCTGGCATTTTACACATTGGCTCCAAAAAACCCAAGTGATTCTTTCCTATTCAAAACACTTTATCAAAAAAATTTTAAATTAGAATTAAAGTTATATCACTTTCCCCCTCCTATTCTTCCCTCCAAACCCCTCCCACACCCCATCTCTCAAACTCATGACCTATTATTCATTAATTATTATTGTTACATGCAAGCATGTCAAGGATGACACTTGGTATTGGATAACTAATTAAAGAGCTCATCTCTAGGGAAAACTAATTCTCTCTTCTCTCTCAACAGTCATTGTTGCCTTTCATCTAGGTTTAGAGCCCCATGAGATTTTCTCTATTCACGCTGGCATGCCAATTGGCTTTGCACTATTTGAATCTTGTTTAGTTAGCCTTATTGTTGGGATTACATGGGTGTGGCTTTCTTGCCATATCCAGAAGACACAGTCTTACAGCAGACTCCCTGGTCTTTGGGCTCCCACAATCCTTTCACTCCCCCTCTCTCTGTGTGGCGCTTAAGGTGGAGGGATTGCATTATAGACATACCATTTGGGGTTGGGTGCCCCATGGTTGGTTGTTCTCTGCCTTTTGACCAGTGGTAGCTTTCTGTAAAGGTCTCTGTCTTCTGTAAAAGAAACGCCTTTGATGAGAGGTTGAGAGCTACATTTTCTGACTGGGCAGCCCACAGAAAACACTGCATTTTATTTATTTGAAATGAAAAAATCTAAGGAAAAGCCAGGGCTAGGGAGACAGCTCAACTGGTAAAGGCCTTGTAGCAGGAGGACTCGAGTTTGATTCCCAGGACTCGTGTAAGAAGGAAATCTAAGTGTGAAGGTGTGTCATTATAATCACAGTGCTAGGGAGGCAGGGACAAACAGATGCCTGGGGCCTGCTGGCATGCCAATAGAACCTACCCAGGGACTTACAGGATACCCAGTCCCTGTCTCAATACAAATGGTGGCTGATGTTTGAGTAATGGCATTCAGGATTGTCCTCTGGGCTCCACAGGCTCATACATACAAAAGCTCCCACAGGTACATGAGCATGCGCATAGGGGAGTACAACCTTTACCCTCCAATCAAGGGCTCTCATGGGGATGATTCCTGGATTTCCAGAGCTGCTTAGGAAGGGGCCTCATGGAGAAATCATCGATCTGGATGGAGACCATCTTGGGAGGGTTTGCTAGACAGACTGTGTTGGGAATCCATCTACCCCTCGGAGAGAATCCGTCTTAAGGGAAAGTGAATATGGTGTGGAGAGCCAAATCCAGCAGCAATGGTGGAGGGCTGGGGATGATGGTCATTATTTTAACGTACCTGGACATCTACCCGCCTCTCCACACATAGCTCCCAGGCACCAGAAGCTGGCTGCTTATTTAAAAGTCCCACCTTCTTACTGTAGTGGGAGCCCACCCTAGATGAGCCATGGTCATACACTCTGAGGGTGGAGGGTGGCGCACAGGAGCAGACAATGTGGGATATAGTCAGAGAGCGGCAGACCTGTAGAAATCCTGGGAGCGGTCTATGATGTTAAGTCTAGCTGAGAACAAGATTAAGGGAGGGGAGGGACGGGGACAGTATATACAGTAGTTCTGACTGAGGAATGGGGACAGTATATGCAGGGGTTCCAACTGATCTAACATTCATCTAGGTGGGCTGCAGGATCAACTCTGCTGGAGCTGAAGACCCGAGCGTGCAAATAAGATAGTGCTTATTGCTGACTTGGATCAGTTTGGGCTGTTGCACCAAAGTACTATACTATATAGTAGCCGGAGCAGTGGCAGAAAGGCCTGTACATATTTAGTACATATAAAATAAATATTCCCGTGTGGTTAGTTGAGTCTTCAAACACAGACTATGCATATGGAGGGCAGTTGTGATTGTTTTTGCTTGATCGTTTTCCTTTGCCTCCTCTCAGCTCCTATGACCCATGCAAGAGTCCTCTGCTACCAGATACTGAAGGGACCATCTGCTCTCTCCTGCAGCAATGCAGCTTAGGCCCTACCCCTCTGGGAAGAGCTCAAGGGATGAGTCTGCGGGCTGGTGGGGCACACTCTCTCGATTCTTCCTCCAAACTCTATTTCCATCTCAGGTGAGGAGTTCTTTTTCCTGGACAAGGACACCAGATTGTGCAAAGTTGCCCCAGAAGGCTGGAGAGAACAGTACCAGAAAGGTTCCACGGACACTTTAACTCTCTTCCTGCGGATAAAGTTCTTTGTCAGCCACTATGGGCTGCTCCAGTGAGTGCTCCAGTCTGTTCCTAGGATCATTAAAGGGTCTCTAACTGTCCAGGCTGACATTCCAGGTAGTGGATAGATAGAGGCATGGGGAATGCTAGAGTGCACGGAAAGGTCAGTTTCGGTCCATGGGGTTCAGATGCAATAGAATCAAGAGGAAAACTAGTCTTTTAGAGGCAGGCCCTGATGGAAATGAGAAATTGTTCCCTGTGTTTCAAACACAGTCCATTCAGTAGCAAGTTCTCTTTTCTCTAAGTGCCTGCCATGTTCAGCTCCACAGCTCAGGGGTAAGAGTTCCAGGAGAGAGCGTTGGCTTTGAAGTCGGCTCACCCTCTCTGTTTTCTGCTGCTTTCTAGAGACACTATCTAACTGAATATCAGTTTTTTTTTGCCTTGCGCTGCATCCTTATGGCTGTTGGAATATCTGGTGTAGAGAAGCCCTCATCAGGAGGAGGGGGCATGGTGTTGGAGGAGGAGCCCACACTAGTCTCTCTGGGTTCTGCTGGGTTGTACCTGTTTTCCCAGATGGAGCGTCCTCCAGTGTGGCATTCTCCTGACTCTCAGGCTGTCTTTTCCCCTGTGTTTCTTTGCTAGGCACAGACGGACAAGGCATCAGCTTTACTTGCAGCTTCGGAAAGATGTTTTAGAAGAGAGGCTGTATTGCAATGACGAGACACTACTGCAACTGGGGGTCCTTGCCCTGCAGGCTGAGTTTGGCAGTTATCCTAAGGAGGTAGGGGTGATATCTGGGGTCACTGGAAAGAGGACTGTGGGAGGAGGAGGCTGTTAGGAAGAGAGAGGCTTTGCTTTTGAGAAGTGCTGTTAACATCTGTCATTGAGATTGGGGTAAACTATGTTCATCCATCCATCTATATATCCATCCATCCATTCATCCATCCATCTATCCACCCATCCACCCACCCATTTGTTTTTCAGATAAGCATTCATTGGACACTTTTCCTATGTTCTGGGCTATATAAGGATAAACATACAAGTTCATACACTGTATTGTAGTTATATCCCTCTTTATAGCAGTCAGTTTGTGCTACTGCAATGAAATACTCCAAACAGTTAACTTACAAAGAGAAAAGGTTGTAGGTTTAGAAGCTCAAAGTCCAAGGTTGGGCTACCCCATAGGTTCTGGGTAGCAGTACCTCATAGTGGGAACACAAGCTGGGGGGACTCCATGTTGATAAATAGGAATTCAGAGGGAGAGAGACTGAGATCTCATGGCCCCTTCTGAAGGAAAGACTCCAATGGTTTAAGGCTCCCATCAGTTCCTTGTCCACGAAAGCACTGCTATTTCCCATAACACCGTGCTATGAAAGTCCCACCATTTCGCATAACACTATGCTTGAGATCAAGACTATCTACACTGTATCCTTCAGGGACCACTCAGACCAGAGCCAAGCCAGAGTAATGCATACACTTGCTGTGATTTTATCACCACTATTACCAAAACTAATAGCTAATCTTTATTAAGAGACTGCTGGGCGGTAGTGGCACACACCATTAATCCCAGCACTTGGGGGGCAGAGGCAGGTAGGTCTCTGTCATTTAAAAGCCAGCCTGGTCTACAGAGTGAGTTCCAGGAAAACTAAAACTCTGTCTCGAAAAACCAAAGAGAGAGAGAGAGAGAGAGAGAGACCTTATCTGCCATTGACCTCAACATCTAACTCACACAAACATTGCAAAGTTAACATCACATATTCTAGATAGACAATCTGAAAAGGTGTGGATTTGGGTAGGTGAGATAGTAGGGGAGATCTGGGGTGAGTTGGTGGAGGGAAAACAGTAATCAGAATATATTGTATAAAAATACCTATCTTCAATAAAAAGATATCAATAAACTTTATTTTTTGGGGGCAGTTTTAGCTTTATAGTAAGATTAAGTGGGAGGAGATACAGAGATTTTTTGCTCCCTATTTATAGTCCCTCCCCCAACAAAAAACCAATGTAACCTTCCTGCTATGTTTGCTACAATCCGTCAGCCTGGGCTGACACTTCTAGAATCCACAGCTGTGCTTGATTTCTGTGCTGGGTACTTCAGACAGCATTAGGGGAGTGCACTAGACTTCCATTGCTGTAACAGAGTACCCGTGGCCATCAGCGTATAGGAGGAAAGATCTGCTTGGCTCACCGTTTCAGAGGTTTGAATCCATGGTCTTTGGCTCTGTCACCCTGAGATGTGGGGACCCAGTAAATCATGAGAGAAGGGAAGGGGAAGGCTGTTCACCTCAAGGCAAGCAGGAAGGACAGGAGAGGAGATTGGGGTCTCAGTATCTCAGGGTGTGCCTTGGCAGCTCAATTTCTCTCACATAACCACATAACTACCTCTTAGAGATCCTGTTTCCTTCTAATAGTACCCAGTGCTCAGAAATCGCATGGCCTTCAGGGGACATTAAACATTCTACTGCAACAGCAGCCCCTCTCTGTCATCAGTGGGCAGGAGGAAGAGGCTCAGGCTTCCCATGAGGTGACGAGCCTGACTAGGTGGAACCTGCCACACTTGGGGGGACTTAGTATGTCTTGCTAGGGGGCTTATACTTTGTTTGAAAAGAGCTTCTGGTGGCGGAAAAAGAACTGGAAACCTCTGCCATGAAAGATGGGAGCCCCTACAGAATTCTGTGTGAGGAAGTAACGTGATTACACTTGCATTTTAAAGAGGAGACAAAGGCAATTTAGTATAAAAATAAATCTCCTTAATCACACCATCACAGCAAACCAACATTCCATGGGCACACACTCTTCCAGCAGATCACATGTCGGGATTTTATACAGCCGTAGACATTGCTGCATTCCGTCTGCGCTCTTTCTCGTCATGTGTGTGGCCTTCCCGAGGCTGCTGCAGAGCTGGAGTGCTTGCATGTTACAGTTCCATGGGCTGGGACTTCCTTCACGCATCCCTTGCCCTCTGTTGGCATTCCCCTGAGAGTGCCATGTAAGTGATGGTTGTCACACTAGCTGCATCTGAGCATCCCTATTATAAATGCCAAGTATATAAAGCACTTGTGCCTAGGACTTTCCATGCTGAATTCTCTTAGGTATGTTCTTAGCAAGAAATGCTGGGATAAAGACCCTATGTGCTCCTTTCTCTCCCCAAATGTTTCAATAAAACTTATTTTTTGTGACACCTGTTGGTCAACTTTCTGTCACTGTGACAGAACACCCGAGATAATCCACGTAAAGGAGGAAAGCTTTATTTTGGCTTCCCGGGTTTTGGCCCACATTTGCAGGCTCCCCCATTCTAGGTAGGGCGGGTTGAGGCAGCAAGCAAATACCGGGTTGAGCAAAGCAAAACTCGTGGTAGGTCATGGTAGTCGGGAAGCAAAACCGCAGAAGGAGGGGAAGGGAATTGGATCCCAGCAGCAAACTTAAGGTAAAACTTCAAGGATCTCCCTCCTTTCTCTGGGTCCCATTGCTGAAGGGTTCTCCAAATGGTGCTACTTGCTCCTGACAGCCTTTAGCATATGAACCCTTGAGGGACTTAAGATCCAAACCATAACAGAACGGCCAGGTTTACAGCGAAGCTGAATGGCGGGTAGGAAGGTAGCGAGATTCACTGTGTCAAATCTAACCTTGCAGTCTCCCCTAGTGAACAATCTAATCTTGTACCAGAAGGCACATTTGTTACTGTTGTTGAACCGATGCTGGCAGGTTGTCATCACCAGAGTGCCTGGTCAACATGGGGGCTCTCTCCTGGTGTCATTTAGTTTATGCATTTTGACAAACATACAATGGTACGAATCACTATCATATTGTCATACAGGGCAGTCTCATTGCTCTGGAAATCACCAATGTTCCCCTTATTAGTGCTCTACCTGTCTGTCCCCCGACAACCACTCATCACTACCATATCTGTAGCAGGGATCTCATAGTTGGAGACATTATGCAACCTTTCATATAGGTTTAAGTCACCCAGTAACATACATCTAAGCACCTTCACGTCTTTTCTTTGGCAGCTCATTTAGTTTTGGTGCTGACTAGGAAGCCCTTGCCCAGATGGGCCATTGTGTCTTCACTCACTCCCTGGGTAGCTTTTGCTCCCAAGGTTCGGCCATTATGAATAGAGCTGCTGTTAACAACCATGTGCAGTTATTTAGTTGTTTTCAGTGCCACAAACCCAGGACCTCCTACATGCTAGGCATGCACTCTTCCCCTGAGCTACATTCTCGGCTCCACAGTAGGCTTTCCTGTGGATACAGGTCTCTCTGTCTTTGTGGGTTGACTGGCAGGTCCTGAGAGTCTGTTTAATTTTGTAAGAAGTTGGCTAACTGTTTTCTGAAGTGGCTGTATTAATTTCTACTCCCATCCACAATGAACGTGAGTTCCTGTTGCTTCTGTTTCAAAAAGTGCTTGGTGTTGTTGTCAGTATTCTGAATTTTAGCTAATCTAACATTTTTTTTAATGCACTAGATTGCTGAGATGTTTCTTTTACTTCGTGCCTCTCATCTGAACCCTGACTCAGCCTGAGTCATCTGGAGAATTTGGGGATTCTCAGTCTATGGTGACACTTAGATAGGCCTGTGCCACAGCATGAATGTGGGGTGTAGTGGTGTGTGTCCTTCTGAATCCCAGCAGACTGACTCCTCTACCCTCTGAAAAGAGGTCAGATTCACCCAGCCCTTAGCTGACTTCTTCAGGATATCTGCCATCAAAACTGGGGACAATGATTTGTCCAAGGGTAGTGTAGTAGTACTTTCTCATTGGAACCACCAGCCACAAATAATGGCACAGAGACTTATTATTAATTATGGCCTTAGCTTAGGCTTGTTTTCAACTAGCTCTTATAACTTAATTAACCCATGTTTTTAAATCTAAGTTCTGCCATGTGGTTCATTATCTTTCCTCAGTACTGCAAATCTGACTTGCCCTTAGTCTTCTGGCAAAATCCACCTGTGTAGATTTCTCCTCCGAGTTTCTCTTTCTGCCCACAAGTCCTGCCTATCCTCTCCTGCCTAGCTATTGGCTATTCAGCTTTTTATTAAACCAATCAGAAGGTGCCTTAGGCAGATACACATCTTTACAGTCTAAGAAAGATTATTCCACAACAGGGTAGACTGGCAGGGGTGCCTCAAGATCAGGACAAATGGAATCAAATACAGATGTAGGCTAAGCTCCCCCTCACCATCCTGCCTCCCCCACCCCAGACACCATCCTGCCTTCTGCCCCCCAACACCATCCTGCCTCCCCCACCCCAGACACCATCCTGCCTTCTGCCCCCCAACACCATCCTGCCTCCCCCACCCCAGACACCATCCTGCCTTCTGCCCCCCAACACCATCCTGCCTCCCCCCTCCCCCCACCCGGACACCATCTGCCTTGTCCCGCCCCCCCCCCACACCATCCTGCCTTCCTCATTTGTTGCAGTGGACCTGGAGTTTGTACCTTCATGAGCTTCACCATACTGTGTTTGTCCCGAAGTCTGTATGGAGGGAACCCAATACTAGGTGGCACTGATCCTCTAGCATCTCCCAAGGGGCTGTGGCCTCAGCTTCCTAAGTAGCAGACTGACTGAAGGTTGAGGTCTTGGTGGGAAGAAGGGATCTGGTCTCCTCAGACATGATCCTGTAGAGGAATGATGTCATATCTGAGACTTCCTTGTTGTTTGGCTCCACTTCTAATACAGAACATAACACTATGTCCCAGAGGCACCTCAAGGGGATATCCTTGTCCTGGGCCCCATTGGGAGTATGGTTCCACGCACATTTCTATTCAGAACTGGCTGGAAGTCTTCCTGGATAAATTCTTTTCTCGGCATGTTGTTCCTCGCAGGTAGAGAATAAAGCGTATTTCCGAATTCAAGATTACATCCCAGCAAGGCTTATTGAGCGGATGACAGCAATCCGGGCCCAAGTGGAAATCTCTGAGATGCACAGGCTCAGTTCTGCACCTTGGGGAGAAGATGCGGAGCTGAAGTTCTTAGAGGTGAGGCCTTTGGGATCCCGAAAGAGGTGTCAGGGCCCAAGAAATGTAGTCAGTGATTCTCTCTGCAGCCACATCTAGTGACCAGAAGGGATTAAAGTTACAAGGCGGTATTGGCAAGGGTTTAACCCACAAAAGGAAGAATTTTTCATCACCCTGGGCAACAAGGAGAGGCTTCTGGTAATAGGTGACATTAGAAATGACCCCTCAAAGGGATAGGATCTATTGGCCTAGGCTGGGTGTCACAGGACCTTGCTTTGGCCTTAGAGAGACATCTATGATACTTTCCTGTGTGCAGGGAGACCTCATAGATGACACAGAGAACAACTGAGGCAGAGAACTGGGCTACAAGCTGGGCAGAGCTGTCAGGAGACTCCTTGTGTGTAGCCTTCTGAGCAGCTGTCAGCGCAACCGTGTAGTAAGTGACTGTTAGCACAGCTGTGTAGTGTGCAGCTGTCAGTGCGGCTGTGTAGGGTGTAGCTGTCAGTGCAGCTGTGTGAGTGTGGCTGTCAGCGCAGCTGTGTGGGTGCCGCTGTCAGCACATCTGTGTGGGGTGCGGCTGCCAGTGCAGCTGTGTAGGGTGTGGCTGTCAGCCCAGTTGTGTGGGTGTGGGGCTGTCAGTCAGCTGTGTAGGGTATGGCTGTCAGCCCAGTTGTGTGGGGTGCAGCTGTCAGTGCAGCTGTGTAGGGTGTGGCTGTCAGTGCGGCTGTGTAGGGTGTAGCTGTCAGTGCAGCTGTGTAGGGTGTGGCTGTCAGTGCAGCTGTGTAGGTGTAGGGTGAAGTTGTCAATGCAGCTGCGTAGGGTGTGGCTCTCTTCTGTTCTCTCTTTTCTCCTCACCTCAAAGCAGCGACATTTCAGTCTCACACACAGAGAGCATCCTGATGATGGATGTTTTACTTTTTCTTCATTACCTCTCCTCACTGTTGGCCAGATGCTGTGGGGAATAGAGATAAGGAGCATATGTTCCCTATCCTTGGTGGGTCCCAGGTCTAGAATGACAACTGTTTAACTAGAGGTGGGCACACTGAGAGAGATGCTCAGAGAGAACGGGACCATTGCCAGTGACTGGTGGGAGGAGGCAAGAGCAGCCTCCTTACAGGGGTATGAGCAAGGTGTGTGCAACAGGGAGGATTTTCTAGAAATGGTTCGTGCGGCTGGACCTTTGGACTTGGGGAACAGTTTCCATAGGACACTTGGGAATGAATACACATTTCTGTGTATCTCAGCCTCCTAGGTAGAGTCAAAATATTCTGTCCATGTGTTTTTTTGTTTGTTTGTTTTTGCTTTTAAGGAGACGAGTGCTTTCCAGACAAACTGGAAAAGCAAGACCTTGCCTTTTCTTTTTGGCCAATCATCCAGGAAAATGATCCCCAACACCTAGCACGGGGGCAGCCCGCGGCCATTTCCTTGTCTGTCTGAGTCTTGTCAGCAGTGCTCACTGAATTCTGCAGTCCATGCTCACACACGCTCCCTGCCAAGAACATTTCCTTGATGAGAGACACAGGGAGAATTCAGGTTGTTGGGTGGTAAATGCCACGGGACTAGAGAACTGGGTTGAGATATAGGACTTCACCCTGCTGATCACAACTGTGAGATGGATGCTGCCTTCGGCCTGTCCCATGCCCAGCTTTATGTGCTGGGCTCTGTCGTGTTCCTCCCCCCACTGGCAGAACTATGAAAAAGTGACTACAAAAATATCTCCCATCTTAGAAGAAAAAAGCAAAAGACTATTTCTTTTCTTCCTGTCTTTCACAAAAAGCATTGGGCAGATTTTGTTTCATTTGCCCGCAGTGGGCATTCATGTCGGGACTCACTCTGCCTCCTACCCTTCTCTTTGGCGGCATTCTCTCAGTGACTAATGCTGCAGGCTGCCCGTTCTTGGTACAGAGAGCTGAAGACAGAGTAAGATTTGCACCCCCAGAACTCTCTGGGAGCTTCCGTGTCACTGAGTGAGTCTTTTCCTTCCAAAATATGGAAGAAAACATTTCTCCACCATGCTGCCTCAGAGAGTGAGCACACTTACATTTTGATATATTCATCCTTCTATCTGTCTTTATATATGTATATGCACATACATTTACAAGTGGGCATATATAAGTACTTCTATGTATTCATATAATCCTGCATTGTGAAAAATTTGAAAACTTACTTTGAATCAATACACACTCCTCTTCAACACTGTATTCTTTGCCGTACAAATAGTCCCAAAATACAATACTATATTTAGTATTTTTCTGTGTTCATCATTGGCTGTGTTTATCTTTCATTTATTAGAGGTGAGAATCTCATGAGAGGAGTCACATAGGTGGGTATCAGTGTTGAGTTCAACCACTGATGCCACATATTGTTGAGGCGTCTTAAATTCCACTTATCTCTGGACATTCATTGTTCCTCTAACCAGGATGTCAATGCCAGGGCCCTGGCTTCACAGAGCCCACTGCAAAGCCATTATACCCCAAATAATCACTAGGTATTTAATTATAGCTCCTCTAGGCTCTTCTTTTTCATGAAAAGAGGGAACCATTCCCAGGTGGCTGCCTGCTGGCTTGGTTTATGGATGCTGTGCTCTGCCAATTCCTTTCCTCCCACTGGCAGCAGACTTGGCGACAGTCCAGTATGGGCACCACTGAGCACTGCCCTTCTTCTGGAAGAGTCACAGCTGTGTGAGTGTGTGAATCCCTGAACAACCCCTTCCAAGTTAGCTCACTGTTTTCCAGACATCCTTAATGCTAGACATGTTCCCACTCAATTAGGGATTGGGATGTGATAGGAAAGCAGTTCCAGTTGCCTGTTGGAATCATATTGGTTAAATTCTGCATTTTTTCTCTCCTTAGCATTCTAATGAATGCATTCTCTGGGTGTTGCGAGCATTTTGTTCTGCACTTCTTTACCCTATCCCCGCAAGTCTGCACCAAATTAGGAAGAGAAATAGGAGGAACATTTGTCTTGTTACGCAGCATGTTTTCCTGGAGCACGCAGCATGTTTTCCTGGAGCACAGTCTCCGAAATGGGGCTGTAGGGGCCAAAGCACATGGATTGATGTCAATTGGGAAGAACAATCTGCTTGTGGCCCACAGTTCTCAGTGCAGCAAGGGAAAGTCAGGACTGTTGGCTCCACTTTCACTTTGCTATCTGCTGCTGGGAGAAGAATCCATGGCGGGATGGGTGTGGAAAGGCATCGTGGAGAACAGGAGACAGATAACATTATTTCACTTTCAGCAGATTGAGATGCCCCAGAGGACATTGTGCCTATTTGTCTACATCCCCAGTCTTCAGGGACACCGAATTTTAGTTGTTGAGAGCGAATTCTCAGAATCAAACGAGCTCCTCTACTGAGATTCCCGTTCCTGCCTCCAAGGCAGGTTACTTGGATCAGTTGAATGATCTGTCTCTCACATATAAGAGAATTTATTTCCAAAATATTTTTCTAAGCTTGCCGAGTTTGAACATCATATTCAATCATAGAAAACTGTTCTCATATATGCAGTAAAAAGAAACTGAAACTATTGCTTCCAAGTTGAACCAACTAAGTATAGCCACGCAGACTCCGAAGAACTACCACAAATGGCTCTCATAGCCCTGTACCTTGCTTTACATTTGTTCCAACAGGGCTTGATATTTTAGGCATTTACATCAAGAGGGACAGAGAACAGAAGCTGGCAGCGCATGGGTAAACCGAGCATATTGGAAACAAAGGGGAGGCTGAATGCCCTCAGCAGCTACAGCTGGCGGAGCTGTGTGAATGTGGACGATGAACTTTAAAACAGACAACGAAGCCTGGGCAGAGCAGCCACTGATAACCCATATATAACCCGAATACCCCATAGCTGCCTAGTGGAGAACAGTTCTGCTCTCCACCCGAGCACAGTCCTGATGTTGCTTGGCTGTGTGGCGGAACAGGACTTGTCAACTGGCAAGGAATGAGAGGGAGCATGGAGACTCTTCAGGGACTGTGGTTATTGGGTCTATGCTTTGTGAAAGCAATTACAGATTTAAAATACAGGAGAGGATGGAATTTCTAATGTTAACAGTGGTTTTCCTTGTGTTTGTTATGTTATTTTTGAATCTTTCTGGGGCCTGGGCAAGCAGGCCAGTGATCCTCCTCCTCTGCATCCCCAGTGCTTATATTACAAGCACCCACCACACCCGGCTTCTTACATAGGTGCTGGAGATGAAACTCAGGTCTAAACCATATTTGTGATTTCCTTAGGCTGGAAAAGCAGAAGAAACACATGCTCATTAAGATGTTGGATTTTGTGAAAAACAAAAACAAGGTTTCTTTTCAGTTGAAGAATTTGAAGAACTTGACCTGCATAGACAAAAACAACAACAAAAAGTTTAATCCACCCGAGGTCAACTGACCTTTCCATGGCTCTGCTTTCTCCTTTGGAAAAAGACAGCCACACCTTTGTGTTATGATTGTTATGAAAGCTAAACTAAATGCTAATGAAACAATGCCTGCCTGTGCTTGGCAGCATGTGATATCAGTACTCATGTATTATAACCCTTTCAGAAGAATTAAAAAACAAAAATGAAACTTTAATGCTAAACAGTTAAAAAAAAAAGGTTTAAAAGGCATTTTATTGTCCTGGTAATTTTTTTTTAATTGAGACAGGGTTTCTCTGTAGTAATTTTTTTTCTTTCTTTTTTTCTTTTTGGAGCCTGTCCTGGAACTAGCTCTTGTAGACCAGGCTGGCCTCAAACTCACAGAGATCCGCCTGCCTCTGCCTTCTGAGTGCTGGGATTAAAGGCGTGCACCACCACCTCCCAGCTTCCTGGTGACTTCTATTTCAGTGCTTTAAAGCAATGCTCATCCAGTTCCTTAACAGTGCACCACACTGCCTTGGACAGCCTCTCCTTGTCATACTTTAATCAGTCCTGCTCAGCCATGGGTATGTCAGTATAAATGCTCCAGCATTTTTATTGGGTGACAGTGCTGACTGAGATGATAGTGGTGCTAACAATGATGGCAGTGTCTCTTCTAAGCTAAAAGCGGGAGGCTCAGCATCCAGACATCTGATCACAATCTCACAGAGAGACAGGGCATTTGCAGGCTCAGTGATGACTCATCAACAGGAGTGAGGTCAGCAATGAACTTAACAAATGATTAGTAAAATTTTTAACTGGTCTCTCTCTATGACTGTGCCTGGGGATGAGGAAGATCGCATAGACAGGACATGGAAGTGTGCTAAGGATAGAGATACCGCACCAGATCTCACCAGAGAAGCCCTTCTGAGAGGCTCTTCGATGTTCGGAGCAGGAAACCCTTTCTGCAGCTCCATCTGCATCAACCTTCTGATGAGGACTTCTTGACCATGTGACGACTGTTCAGATGATCAAACATTTGTGTTGAGTTCCTGACTAAAATTCTCTTGAGAATTCAATTGACCTGATATAGATACCAACTTTAATTGACTCTGGACCTCTTACAGAAATCAATCCCCAAGCTTGGTAAACTGAGGCAAGAGATGGGGCTGTGGGGATCCTACAGAGACATTGCTGAGTGGAAAGACAGGCTGGAGGGACAGGCATTTCCCATGAAAATTGTTCTTGGCTCAGCCTCAGCTCTTGAAATTAGAACATGAAAAGATGGGACCAGATGATTGACACAATTGGGGATGTCCCAAGAGAGCCTGAATCATAAGAAACACTTGTTCCCCATCTTTTTTTATCCTATTGTGTCCTTTATTTATAAGAACGTACCCCATATGTTCTTTTAGGCACCCTACAAATAGAAGTTTATTTAGGTTAAGAAAGGAAGAAAGGAAAAGAGAAAGAAAGAAAGAAAGAAAGAAAAAAAGAAAGAAAGAAAGAATTTCATCATATCAAAAGTGTAGATGTTCCAGAGCAAGTAAAACTGTCTATCTGGATATTTCTTCATCTTGTTTGCCAACAATGACCCTTTTCCACAGAAGGGGTTGAGGGTCATGATTTTGAACCATCCAACTCGTGGGTCCTAAGATGGCCTTTTCCTCCCTCCAGGTTGTTCAGCAACTCCCAGAATATGGAGTCCTGGTTCACCGAGTGTTCCCAGAGAAGAAGAGACCAGATGGGGAAATGGCCTTGGGGGTCTGTGCCAAAGGTATCACAGTCTACGAGGTGAAAAACAGGCGCAGAATCGCCACATCACGGTTTCCATGGAGAGAAACTGGGATGATTTCAACTCATGTGAGTGAACTCAGCTGATAGCCTCCCTCTCCTTTGATCTGTGGCCCTCTTCAGTGGCAGTGGCTACATGGATCCATCTTGGCATATTCATATACAGCCTACCATCCCTTAGCCTGTATTCTGATACATTGTACATTGACATATTTGGGAGGACCAAATACTTCAGGGGGTGGGGTCAGGGTAATCCACAGGAAACCCCCCTTTTTTCATGTTCTATTGCTAGCTTTCTAACAAGACTCCATAAATAGCCCATAGCCTAAAATGCTACATTTTCCTCCACGCCTTCTCCATAACCTTCTGTCTGAGCCCATCTGCGGCCAAAGCAAGGACAACTGGGATCCAGAGGAACAGAACAGAGTAAAGGTTCAGTAGTGTCTGCCAGGCTTTGAAACATCTGCCTACGGATTGTGTCTCCTCTGCATATACAGGCGCCTGGTGTGTCTTGGGTGGACTGCAGGTCCCCTGGCAACAATGTCGAATGACCATTGAAAAATTAAAATGTGTAAACCCCCCCTGAACAGCCAACTCGCTGTATTTCAAATCATATTAAAAGCCCTTTTCCTATCCAGTTCCCCAATTAGTTTCTATCAGCTTGGCACTGGGACCTGGTAGCTGACTATCCCTGCCTGTCCCAGGGTTGTCCAGGCCAGTATTTATGTTTTACTGAAGATTTATCTTAATACAAAGTTCTTTGCCTTTTGGCTCATACACTTTTTAGTCTTTTTCTACTTACTTTTATCCTATTGTTTAAATTTTCTACTAGTTAGATCATTATTTTTATTATCTGACATTAGCATTTCCTTGGTAAAATAGTTGCTTTTATTCAATTTTTGAATGTTTCTTTTATGGATTTTATCTTGATTTTTGAAATTAACATTGTCAATGTATGATATGTAATAGAATCATCTATACTAAATGCAGTAGTAATTTTGAAATTTGAAAAATTTTGAATTTATGAAGTTCAACAGTCCCCATAAATTTATTTATACACACACACACACACACACACACGCACACGCACACACACACAACTATATATTTAATTTTAGAGGTATTTGTTTTCTCATTTCCAGGCCAAAAAATAAAAATAAACAAAATAAAAATAATCTGGGAAGCCATCAAGTTCACAAACTCAAAACAATTGTCTATGTAGGATCCCCAGACCCTGATGCTCCACTTTGCCCTTGGCATGATGGATGTCTTGCTGGGAAATCACCCCGTGCAGTAATTCACCAGCTGCTCTGACCAGTTAAGCATCTTCCACAGAAAACGACTCCTAGATTCTTTGTGCTTCTGCGAGTAGTGAACAAGCTCCGAGGACCCTGAGATCTGTTTAGGAAGCTAGCTTCCGGTTTTGTTTGCTAATAGCTGGAGCCAAGATACTTCAATCACACCTCATTCTTCTTTTCCCCCTGCAGGGAAGCAGCCCTGGAATAAGGATGCTGTTTTCAAGGAGTGCAATCCCTGGCTACCTTGGCTTCTGTGTATACTTGATTATTCAATCAAAAACCATTCTATCTAGAACAAGGAGCCTAATGGTGCTGTTAACGCTGGGGTTTTCAAGCATTAGTTCTAATATATGGAGATAAATGCTTGGAACATAACAAACTATACAGGACTGCACATGGCCCCCTTTAAGCAAAAGATACAAAATGGCAAATAGAAGTTACCTCATGGAAGGGAATGTTGTTTAGAATAAGAAAATGAACCTCAGAATTTGAATATTTTTAAAAATGAGTGAGAGGACATTCTTTTCAAACAGTGCAAATGCCAGAGAACCACTCGGTTCATGAACTTCCTGGTAAAGCTTGTAACTCTCTCTTTTCAGATTTAGGGTGGCGTATTCTTTTCTTATTTTTTCACATGACAGCATTTTATAATGTCATTTTATCTAGAGAGAATAGAAATACAGTTTAGCATATCTTTAAGTATGGCTGCAGTAGACTAGGTAGAGCAGGCAGTTTGCACAGAGAAACACTTGCTCCTTGTGGGTTGTTACATGTTGCTGTGCTGCAGATGCAGGGATTGTTTGTGTGTTGGGCAGGGGTGGTGTCCTGGAGATGATGCTAAAGCTGAATACTTGGTAGGCTGGTGTTCTTCCCCTGAACTGGATCCCAGTCCCAAGTGCTAGCAATCTAACAATAGCATCTTACTTGACTCCTAGTATG